GGATGCACTCAATCTGAAGGAAGACAGTCTAAGAGATGTATGTATGATTAACAAGTTGTTTCTGCACCTGTCCTCCCTGAAGTCTAGTGTAAAAAGCAATACAGTAGAAAAAGACCTATAATATTTCTTCTTAAAATTTCAGATACTGTAGGATCATGCCCTAGAATGGGAAGGCAAAGCTGTGTCTCTGTTTTCCACCAATAATTTCTAGTCAGTTTTGGGTAAAAACTGCTAGATGTCCCACACAAAGTTTTGATAGCAGTAGTGAGGTTTTCTAGCTTTAGCTACTCGGGCAGTTTCAAATGTTTTTTGTGACATTTGATTGATTTAGAGTAATTCTCTGAAGATAAACATGAAATTATCATACACATCCTTCTTAAGGATTTGTGTGACTTAATTTTTCAATATGTTTTCAATTTTCAAAATGTCTGAGAACGTTTGGCTTGTTCCACATTTCAGTTCAAAAGCAACTGGCATTTGAAGCACAAAGTGGTCCCAGTTAAGATATTTTTTGTCCTATATACATACATACATATACACTGAATTCTAAGACACTGTCATATTGCTAGTTTGAAGATAATTTTCTCATATTTGGTCTTTGGATAAAAGAATATTCCATCTATTCCAGAAATTGCACTATTGACAATATGGATTATAAATTTTTTATAGTCTCCATGCTTTTTTTTGTAACAAATAAGCTTCACTTGCAATGTATAGATAAGCACTGCTTAACTAAAGCATAATTTCTACAATGCTCTCTCTCCATCTGAAAATAGTTAGTATGTGTTTGGTTTTCCTAACAGGAAATAGCAAACTCCAGGGTGAAACAGGAAGCGGTGCAGCTATATGAAAAGCTCCATGAGCTCAAGGAACGTCGGGACCAAATGATTGCTGAGGATAAGAACATGGAATCTCCAGAGGAGGAAAGGGAGAGATTACTAAAGCAGGCAAGAACATACAATGTTGTCATGTAAAAGATTCTCTAAGTCAGTATTTTAAATGGTGACAATACTTGAAAATACTTGGATTTGAATCTTGCTCTTATTTGCACTCTAAGCAGCATGAATCATGGAAATGAAGAGCAGTTAAGTTGTTAATGAGTCGGAGGAATGGGTATTTCAGGTTCAGCCAAAATCTATAGACCTGTTGGAGTGGGTTCCAAGGGCCATGAAGATGGTCAGAGAGCTGGAGCATCTCACATATATGGACAGAATGGAAGAGTTGGAGTTGTTCAGCCTGGAGAATAGAAAGCTCTGGAGAGACCTAATTGCAGCCTGCAATACTTAAAAAAAGATACTTATAAAAAGAGGGAGAGCAACATTTTCTGTGGGCATATAGTGACAGAATCATAGAATCATAAAATCAACT